TCGGTTGGACTACGTGTCGATGATGTGTAACGAACAGTGCTATTCACTCGCCATCGAGAAGATGTTGGGACTACAGGTGCCGAAGAGGGCTCAGTATATACGGGTCATGTTTGCGGAGATTAGCCGTATATTGAATCACTTGTTGGGTATCGGAACCGAAGCTGTGGATCTCGGAGCCATCACACCATACTTCTGGCTCTTCGAGGAAAGAGAAAAGGTCAGTGTTTGAGAGAGAGGGGAGAGAGAGAGAGAGAGCGAGAGATTATTTAAGGTTTTATGCAATTGTTTTAATTTAATTGTATTTAACAGTTAATGGAGTTTTACGAGAGAGTGAGCGGCGCTCGTATGCACGCGGCGTACATAAGACCTGGTGGTGTGGCTCAAGACCTCCCGATTGGTATTATGGATGACATCTACCGCTGGGCCGAACAGTTTCCCGAACGGGTGGATGAAGTGGAGGACCTGTTGGTTGACAACCGTATCTTTAAGGCCCGTACGGTCGGCGTCGGTGTTATATCAGCTGAAGACGCGCTGAATTGGGGAATGAGTGGTGTTATGCTTCGCGGGTCGGGAATCAAATGGGATTTACGCAAAACTCAGCCCTACGACAGTTACGAGGATTTTGACTTCGATGTACCCATTGGTCTGAACGGCGATTGTTATGACAGGTATTTTACTTTAAATGTTAACTTGTATTAACAAATGTTAATTGAAATAAACTTCAGACACCATTGCCGTATAGAAGAGATGAGACAATCGGTGAATATTATACTCCAGTGTCTGAACCGTATGCCCGCCGGAGAGGTCCGCAGCGATGATAACAAAGTGGTTCCTCCGACTCGTGCGGAAATGAAGTCATCGATGGAAGCGTTGATACATCACTTCAAACTGTTTACAGAGGGCTATAGTGTGCCCGCAGGCGCCACTTATACGGCCATTGAGGCTCCGAAGGGCGAGTTTGGTCTCTATATAGTGTCCGACGGCTCGTCCCGACCCTATCGGTGCAAAATCAAAGCGCCCGGATTTGCCCACTTGTCCGCAATCGACTACATGAGCCGCGGTTTATTTCTGGCCGACTTAGTGGCTATTCTCGGCTCTTTGGATATAGTGTTTGGCGAAATCGACCGATAAGATTGTTTGCGGCGATTGAACGACAACTCTCTACCCGTGCCTTCCGTGTGTCTCATACTTATATACTGTGATTTAATTTTTACCTTAATTATTATATTTGCATTTTAACGGTTATTTTATAAAACAAAAACTGTACTAATTTTAACGATAACTTAATTGAATTAATATAAACACGGATTTATGCAATGATTTCAATAATTAAAATAATAATTTTTTTTCAAAACTACTGAAAGAAAGCGATAACCGTTTTAGTAAATTAATTTAAAACATGGTAAACATTACAAACAATTTATTAATTGCTGTTAGATTACAATTAGCGATAAGAGGGGGGGGGGACGAAGGGGTTGTTGAAAAATTCTCAAACAGTAACGTAACTCTATATATGAATGGCACACAAATCTCACTGCAATGGTCCGTAAATATAACGATCAAAAAACAATTGCAAAGCAAAAACCATTCATAACTACTGTAACGTGTGATTAGCGGCCAAAACCATTCACTAATTAACACGTGATTAAATTGACCACCAAAACAACAAGCAGAGACATTTTACCATCGGGTGGACTTAATTAGTGCGGACACACTTCGATGGCAAACATGTTGAAACTATTATGGCTGCCGACGGTATCGGTGACCACCGGCGCCGTCTCCACGACCGCCATCGCCAACACCAGCGGCCTATTGGCGGCCAAACACGTGACCAACACGTGCTCTGTCGCGGCCATGAGTTACGGCTCCATTGGTGACGACCAGCGCTACCACAACCGCCGCCGCCATACCATCGCTACCCATCTGGAGAGTCGTGTGTTGACAGCGGCCGCCATCACTGCCGGCCATCAGTACTCGCAGCGCCGCTCGATGGCCAAGAAGTGGTTCCCCGACAAGCAATACATGGATGACTTCGCCGGCGATACCATCGCCTATAAGGACAGCAAATGTCTGGTACCGGACGACTCGACCCGTTGGGAGGGCTGGGAAGACGTGCACATGGACTCCCGACCCATGGAGAGACACGTCCGCAATGTTGTGCTCAACTTTGGTCCGGCACATCCGGCCGCACACGGAGTCCTGCGGCTGATACTGGAGTTGAAGGGGGAGATCGTGTTGAGGGCCGACCCGCACATCGGTCTCCTCCATAGGGCCACTGAGAAGCTAATGGAGTACAAGACGTACACTCAGGCCCTGCCATACATGGATCGGTTGGACTACGTGTCGATGATGTGTAACGAACAGTGCTATTCACTCGCCATCGAGAAGATGTTGGGACTACAGGTGCCGAAGAGGGCTCAGTATATACGGGTCATGTTTGCGGAGATTAGCCGTTTATTGAATCATTTGCTTGGCATCGGCTGCTCTATCCTAGATCTCGGGGGTCTTACGCCATACTTCTGGCTCTTTGAGGAGAGAGAGAAAGTGAGTTATTGCGAGAGAGAAAGAGAGAGAGAGAGAGAGAGAGAGAGAGAAACTCATTGAAAAGACAATTTAATTATTTTTTGCAGTTAATGGAGTTTTACGAGAGAGTGAGCGGCGCTCGTATGCACGCGGCGTACGTCAGGCCGGGCGGTGTGTCTCAAGACCTGCCAATCGGTATTTTGGACGACATCTACCGTTGGGCCGAACAGTTTCCCGAACGGATTGACGAAGTGATGGATCTCGTGGTCGATAACCGTATCTTTAAGGCCCGTACCGTTGATATCGGTGTGATATCGGCTGAAGACGCGCTGAATTGGGGAATGAGTGGTGTTATGCTTCGCGGGTCGGGAATCAAATGGGATTTACGCAAAACCCAGCCCTACGACAGTTACGAGGACTTTGACTTTGATATACCCATTGGTCTGAACGGCGATTGTTATGACCGGTATGTGTAGGGCTTGTGGTGTGAGTTGGCACGCAGTGTGACTGTAAGGCGGATAGACTCTTATCTATATTTCAATTAATCAATTATTGTTTGTATTTCAATTTGCTTTTGGTTTAAATGTTATAAATTTTAACCGTCTGTAGTGTTAAGTAAATTGTAGTGGTTTTTCACTAATTAACTTTTATTGATAATAATTGTCAGATTCTTGTGCCGTTTTGAAGAGATGAGACAATCGGTAAACATTATACACCAGTGTCTGAACCGTATGCCCGCCGGAGAGGTCCGCACCGATGATAACAAAGTGGTTCCTCCGACTCGTGCGGAAATGAAGTCATCGATGGAAGCGTTGATACATCACTTCAAACTGT